AGCGACCCCATTCTGATCAATTACATGACCAAGAAACATCACTCTTCCCTGCATCAGATGACATTTCTTTGGACTCAGTTTAAGATTGTTGTCTCTTAACTTTTGGAAGACCATCCGAAGTCTGTCAAGGGCAGCTTCTTCAGTAGGGGCAAAAACAAGGAGGTCGTCCAGATAGCAGAGCAGACTTGTGAAATTTAACTCACCAAAGATGCTCATCATCATCCGCATAAATGAAGCTGGACTGTTGCAAAGCCCTTGGGGCATCCGGTTGTATTCATACAGCCCAACTGGTGTTGTAAAGGCTGTATACTTTTTATCCTCTTCACACATTGGGATGTTGTAAAATCCGGAGGTTAGATCCATGGTGCTAAAGAAGGCATTGCCCCCAAGAGCTGCAAGGCAGTCTGCTTGATGAGGAAGCGGGTGGGCATCTTTCAGGGTTCTTGCATTTAACCATCTAAAATCTGTGCAGATTCGTAGCCCACCATCTTTCTTCCAGACTAGAACCAGGGGAGAGGCGTATTCGCTGATGGACTTGCGGATAATGCCTTTCTCCTCCATGTCTGTGAGTACCTGCCTTAACTGTTGATAATGAGCTGGGGGCACTCTTCTGTATGGCATACGGAATGGGCGGTCATCAGTCAGGCGAATGCGATGTTCAAACCCTTTAGCCTCACCACAGTCAAGTTGATGTCTGGAGAAGATGTCTTCATACTCCTCAATGAGCTTAACAAGGTTTGCCTTTGATTGGGGGCTGGTACAGCATGAGTCGATAACAAGATCCTCCAACCCCAGTTTTGAGAGTCTGTCTTTGAGGTCAACCATGGTGGGGTTTGATTTTGAGACCTGTTCTGAACTCTTCTCTTCCACTTTACAGGAGTCTTGTCGCAGGTTGAAATCCTCCACTGCCATACAAGGTGATACTTCCGCTATCAGAGAGTTGCGCTTCAGGGTGATTGATTTTGATGACAGATTGGTTATTTTCAAAGGTACCCATCGGTCACCCCACATCGGAGTGATAACTCGTCCAACAAGTATGTCCCTTGGTCTTGACTTCGAAGTGCAAGGCTCTACAATGATTGTACTGCCTGGAGATATGGGGGCTTTGCATGAGAGTTTGCCCCACACAAGGTGTTCCTGTTGTGAGAGTAGTGTGACAGCTCGGGGTAATTTCACAAAACCAATCTTTTCAGGGACCTCATCACCCCTCCATCTTGTGGTACATGCCATCACATCTAGAAAATGTTCATAGTCTGTAGTCCAGCATTTGCATCCGGCACCTGTTAGCTCCCAGTAGTCATTGTTGCTTTTCAAAACATGCATCAAGTATTTTATCACATTAGATCCAATGATGAGCTCGTCTCGCTGGCCAGGCACCACTAAAGTAGG